TTGAAGGTCATCAATGGAGGCAGAAGAACTAGTGTGACGTGCATCATCAGCATACATACTTAGAAAACCACTTAATGACACTTTGATAGGGAGGGAAGTCATAACAAAAAATTGAAAACAAAAGCGGGGATAGAATAGTCCCTTGTGGAAGTCCATCCCAACCAACTGACGCTTTGTTATTTAGTTTTTTCAATAAGTTATTAACATCTGTTCCGGTAAAGGATATATCGTTCATATGTACGAAATGAACGATGCTACCACTGATGCTAGCAGGGTCAAAAAACATACGTCCATCAATTGTTTTTTCAAATACCGTAAAATATTTACACCAATATCCAGAACAACGTTGCTCAAGCGAACATTTTTGAAAGAGAAAAGAGAAGAACGAATCACTGCACCAGTAGTAATCAGCGTAAATTCTTCTTAAACAAGTAAAATAACTAGATGTCAACTGCGCACTGCGAAGATTGGAAGCCGACTGAGTGAAACATTTCTGGAAATAGTTAGTTTCCACCTATGACATAAGCTACGTAGATAATTAATTTAAACCAGAAATATCTTTGTGAAAGAACCTAGTTTTTTTGTCGTTTAGCAACAAAAATATGTTTCGAATTTTATTCACCGGCTACATTAATCTTCTACGACAGCATATTATTCACCTTATCGTATCAGCTGATTCATTATCCTATCATATATCCTGCTATAGCTGTCATCATATCAAACACTATAGTATATATCCACTACGAAGGATATCATGTGACGCTTAATTATCTGATAGGAGAAATGATTGAGTTTTCTCTATACGTCACGTGTTAATTATGGCATACTTGGAAAATTTTCTAAGTCCCAACCTTCAAATACTACGTTTTCAGAATTGTTTGCACAAAACCTAAACGTTGTTTCACTCAGTCGGCTTAAAAATGATTAACGTCAGATATGTTGACGAGTAGTAAAGAGTGAGAAAATGGGATAAAGAGTAGTGGAAAGAGGAAGAGCATACGTCGAGAACATCATGCGTCGAAACTCGGTCGGTGAACATCCTCCTACCTTGGTCGATTTTGCAATGGCAACACATGGATGAATTTTTACTTTTGTTCTTTTGGAGCCCAGTTGTTTACCCTAGTCATCGATTCTTATATAAGAATCTTACTAGAAACGTCTAAGTCTGTTACCAGTGTCTTATCGGAATCTTATCAGTTTCTTATATAAGATTGCTTAAGATTTCCCATCGGTAGTCGGAAGTGTCTTATAAAAATCTTATAAGATTTTCATAAGAGGTCCGTAATAAATTTATAAGAAGTATCAAAAATTCTTATGAAATTTTCCAGCCAATGGAAGCAACTTAATCATAACAGAAATCACCAAAACCAACTCATAAGCTGCCTTCTAGTAAATAAGAATAACATAAGAATTTTTGATACTTCTTGTGAATTTCTTACGAACCTCTTATGAAAATGTTATAAGATTCTTATAAGACACTCTCGACTGTCGATGGGAAATCTTAAATAATCTTATATAAGAAATGGATAAGATTCCGATAAGAATTTTATCAGTTTTATTAAAAAAATTTTGTCTAGAGTAGAGTCGACGTCATTGCTTCATTTTTTTCGTAGTTGATTGATTGAACAGACAATGCGGCATAGAACTCTAGACTATCGAACAATGTTTTTAATCTTTGTTGTAAGTAGTTTTCACCCATTTGAGCCACTAACGTACATGCTACATCATCGGTGAAGAAATTCATACCAATTACATTCCAATAAAAAATGTCTACATATCAGAATGATACATATACCGTCTTTATTTTTCATACGTGAATCACTAACAATTTTTGGATGAAAAGCTTGTAGTTCAGGGAGAAGAGCTGTTCCATTATCATCATGCGCGACATTATGTGCAATGAATGCCAGTTGTGATGGAACAGATGGTTTTTCAACGAGAAAATATTGTTGACTATTTAAAGCGGGGTCAACGCTCATACAACCTGGTCGCACCGCCACTCGATGCAGACCCGCCAAGGAATTTCCAGTTTAAATGAAATCAAAAAGGAATTTCTACTTTCTTGAAAATTATTTATGGAAATTCAAGGAGGATTTTCTAGCTTATTGGAAATTCGATTTTCTATAAACTGGAAATTCCTCGAGTACCCGCCTCATAGGTACTCTTTGAAATTCGCCGAGCATTTTCTATAAATAATTTCAACCTTACAGTGTACTAATTTAATGCGAAAAAGTGAGGTTATTTTGGAATTAAAGAACACTCTTATAACACAATGACTCACATATGCTACGAATAAACATCGGATATAAGCGCAAGCATCTACGTGATTTTACGTTGACTGCACTGTCTTATATTGAACTTTTAGTTTTACCATTATTCGATAGTAGAAACAAATCTCTAAAAGTAGAAGTCACAATGAATTACAATTGTCAGGGTTGCGATTTGAAAATCGCGTTACTTTTTTATGAGATGATTTCTGCAAACTATTACAGGGTGCCCAAAAAATACGTTCACAAAATTAAAAACGAAAAGTTTTTATAAAAAACATTTCGCCAAATTTTTGAATTTGACATTTTTTGTAGCATTCTCTCCCCCCTTTCAGATACATTTTAAATTTTTTCGTTAGCTCTATTCTACATTATTTTATAGATGAATTCAAACTGAAAAAATGCTTTTATAAAAACTTTTCATTTTTAATTTTGTCAACGTATTGTTTGGGCAGCCTGTATATTCTTACGTATAGTAGTCCGTATAACAAAAAATTTTAAAATTTGTTTTCAATAAAAGCTACTTTTTGAAAAACTGCCGTTTTTTTTCCAAATTAATATTCGTCATAGAACCAACTCAAAATCGGGGAGCAAAGTTTGCTTACCAGATAGCTGTACCACATAGCTAACATCATTGTGCTTATTTAGAATAAACAAGAGCGCAGATGAATATTGAGTTTATCGAAATATGTATTAAAAACTATGTAGTTCAACACAATTCGATTTTTGTACAAAATCATATACATTCAATTTCAATTTCATTTTATTTAAAAATAAATTTTTGTACAGCAGCAGTCATTTATTTAATTTAATAATTTAAATTTATCTTGACGTTTCAACTCTTCATAGAGTTATCTTCATAGAGTTATCTTAAGAGTCGAAACGCCAAGATAAATTTAAATTATTAAATTAAATAAATGACTGCTACTGTACAAAAATTTATTTTTATTCACTTGTTGGCTCTAAATCGTAATAATGTTCATTTTATTTAGCTTAAATTAAAGCAGGGAAACAGGAAAAGCCCTCGGCTTATATATACTGCTCCCAAAAAATCTTTTCAAATATGAACGCACAAAAAAAGATAAGGTACAATAAACAGCAAGTAAAGTTAGAAGAACCGTTTAGAACATTCAACAGAACAATAAACATTTACATTTGATAACTGAGATGAGCGCGTAGGCGAGCTTTAAAGACTGGTAAAGAAACAACAATAGCATTGGAAGAGTTAACAGGATCAGGATTGCTAATGACATGCGGTGGACATTTGTTCCACTCGTCCGCTGCTAGATAGAAGAATGATTCCTGTACACTTTTCTTTGATGTGAAAGGAATAAGCACCGCGAAAGCATTCAAAGCTTTATGACATTTTATGATTGTTTCCGAGGCGATAATGTAACAAAAGCTAGTTTAACGGTTTAGCGTTTAATACTCATACCTTGCTTTTTGACGAGAAAGCATTGAGTAAACTACACTGGGCTATTACATACCAAAAGAAATCTATGATGTTAGCTCGAACTTTCCTGGACTTCGGTATAGATTTTCCAAAAATTCTTGATTTTTTCAGGTAAAATCAATTTTTCTCTCCTCCTGAAGATTTCTATAAAGAAAATAAGGTGATCGTTGGAAGCGGCGTGTAAAACTGCATTGAACGATGTATAAAACAATAAGTTTCGAATGAAAAATATCCCAATTACAACTGGTTCGCTCTGATTTCATACATCAATTTTTGAAAAAATTATTTTTTTCAGAAAACGTTTATTTTTCGTTTATAAGGTTTTGGATGACTGAAGAATCATAATGACTCATAAAAAGAGGGTTAGTCGCAAGAAAATGTCCGCATCACAAGCCGTAATTGTCCATTGTAGTGGAGGAATGTTTTATATCCCGTTTAGAATACGTAGCTTAAAACGCTAGAAAGACTGAGAAGAATGCAACAGATCCAACTGCTAACTATGTTTTGTGGCATTTTATGCTCTAGCTTATAAGATCCTGGTCCCTTACGTCATCTTTTTCTTTTGATTGATATCCTTCGTGATTACCATTCATTCTGATAATTGATACAGTAGCAGCTGGTTAGTGTTGTGAATTTTTATGTAGTTTCGAACGACTCATTCGATAGTGATTTTGATTTTCGTAACAAACTTTCACTTTCTCAAAAACGAAAGTCTTTTTTAAAAAGTAAAAATAGTTCCATCAAATTATTTTTATATTCCGGTCGAGACACGTAGATATTTATCCAATTTTCATAAATTATACCGATAACCTGGTTGAATGAAATCTAAACTAGTTTTGAATTTTTCTGAATTTAGACTGGAATTGACCGTTTTTTGATTACTACATCTAGCGGTATTCGGACAAATGACTTATTGATTTTAAAAATCATTGGAGTTTTATAAAATATTTTGATTAGAACATATATAATAGAACAGTAATGGGCGTACAAACCAAGAAACTCACTCTAAAAAATTGAATTAATAATGTACCACAGTTATGGGTCATTCCTTCACCCTTCTATACTCTTAGGCAAGAGTTGATCACTAGTAGCAAAAGCTCTAAAATTTTTATGTTGTCCGTTATGTTGCAATAAGCAAGATAAGTTAATCATGCACTTTCCGTGCTGCAAATCAATTCGAAAAAGTTACGTCATATTTCCCGAGTTTACTAAATACAGCGAGGGACAACAGAATTTATGAACAGAAAAATTATAATAAAAATAACTTTAGCTTTATTGAATTAGCCCACAGTGTCTGAAGTAGTAATAGTTCGTTTCTTATTTGATGAGCCTTAATTAAAGAACAAACGTATGTTTACATTTTTCATTTTCATTTTTATCATCTACCTTGTTGGGTATCTTTGCTTGTTTTCGTTGAAGAATTTGTACTATTTGTGTTCGATAAATAAACTGATTTCAAAGACTAAATAGATATAAAAAAGTGAGAGCGAATGTGAAAAAAAAGATTTTTTTTATAAGATTACCGCTTTCAATGCATCATTTGTCAAAAATTTCTTATAGGATTTTGAATCTTCTATTCCAAATCCGGGTATCCACATATTATGTGTACGTTCTAAAAGAAAATAATTATATGATTCGTGATTTTAAACCTTAAAATCTACAAAATATAAACCTAGATACAACTGAACATCTTTTGCTTCCACAATATTCGATTTTCTATGTTTGGCGTTTTGACACGATGACAATATCGTCGTTTCAACGAATTCTTCCGCAATTTGAATCAACATCTAAAAAAGGCATATAGAGTACAAAATTGCACTGAAGAATACATCAGACCATCAAACCTCTTCTACTTCATCGTCGATTTGCAATAGTGATTGTGGATCAACTTCTTTGATCAAATCTTGAATAGAGCGTTTATCAATGAGCTAAAAATGTTTGTACACATTTGAAATGGTATATTCAACGTCAGAAACTAAACAACGAGATACACACAGGTTTATCACCATCGTTGTTCGATGATCCAGTTACGGGTGATGGACGCGCAAATGAGTTATCATTCGTAATTGGTAAACCCTTTAAATATATAAACGGAGATCGTATGATATAAAAAAAAGGAATACGCATTAGAGATCTGTACGGGCAATCCTGTGACCGCGGATATGTCCGTGCTGCCCCTGGCATGGACGGGCAGGAATGGACAGGCAATCGTTCTCTCGAATGGACAAGGATTTTTGAAAACTTTTTGTTTAACAAATAAATTCAAAATATGAATTATTTGTGAATGGAGCATAGATAGTAAAAGACATGTCAATGAAAGAACATGGTATACGAACGGGAAAATTTTCGTTGAGATATACACGAGAATTTATTTTTTTCGTAGAAGAGAAAATATGTGATTAAAACGTGATTTTTTTGCCACACTACAGATTTTTTATCTACGAGTACGGACAAATATCCCAGAAAGGTCTACAGATGTGGACGAGCGCGGGCAGATAAATCTTGCCCGTGCAGATCTCTAATACGCATGTTCGACTATACTTTGTTCATCGATTTATCAGGATTTAAACGAGACATCTAAAAGAAAAGGCAATTAAAGACAAATACGCAATAATCAACATTCAATAAAAGATTATTAGATAGCGAATTTTTGAAAATTTTTAGGACTTCGGAGGTAATCGTACGCCATTTTCAACATATGTAGCTTAAAAAACACTTAATATTTGTAGGTAGAAACCTGTTAGTAAAAAAACTAAAAGATTGCAACATTGCTACGCTGTTGAGTAACGCGCTTTTACGTTTCTAAGGAGAACGCAAAGTATCTGAAATATTGTAGCTGTACTTTTTGTTAAGCTATTTAATTTTTATATCTGACACTATATTTTTTTATGATGACCACAAATTTAACCTGTCAGAAGTGAGTAGTTGATCATAATAATACTATCGTGTTAAGATTTTCTCTATTTAATGAGCTGTCATAATGGACAATAGTTTATTCGTTTTCTAGTTTTTCTGTTTCAGCTCAATCCACGTCAAATATTTTGTTCTTTTATATAAGAAATGATAGTAAACTCTCTGTTTTTATATTCCTATTCTATCCACTAGAAATCTGTAAAGTTTCTACTTTCGAAACTCCGACTGTAACAAAAATGCTCATAATGATAAACACTGCATCAATACTAAAGCTAGACAAAAAAAATGGCGATTAGACCAATCAAAAATGAACACAAAATCTCTCTTAGTATGCAGAATAGACAAACATGGTATCGTTTCAGTGCGTCCTCTGCATCTTCAAGAAACTAATTAATTAAGCGAACTAATGAAGTTTAGAACAAAATTCCTTCATTTTCTCTCGAATAAGAATAATTAATTGGATTAATCATGTACTCGCCTGTCGCAGCACCTGAATGTATCAGCTCGTTGACATTTGTAGTGCATAACTGTCCTACGTTTGTCGATCGTGATTGATCAGGCAATGAAAAGTTTAGTCATCGAATCATATACCCAGAGTTCGTTCACAATAAATAAAGAAATAATATGAAAATTGACTTTGTTTTGTTCCTCTGTGTGCAGTCCATGTGTTCTTTCTTTGCATTACTTTTATCATTGGATGATAGTATACTGACTTTCTTACTTACATAAGAGCACGGTCGTTAAGTTCGCTGAGTAGTAATTTGATGATATGTATGTCGACAGACTATTTTAGTCACATATTTTGTCACATTTTTCTGAATTAGATCTGAACCAAGAAAGAAAATTGTGTGTAATATGATTTATTAATGCAAATGGATTCATTAGTAGACGGTCTTTACTCTTAAGGAAAATTACCTTTTATTATTCTCGTATAACTTCTGCACGATATCTTCTCTTATATACTCTGGATATTTTAGATGGCTGAAGCTATGTATGACAAGAATTTTGGAGGGTACCGAGTGTTTATTGGGGATTTAGGTAATGAAGATTTGGTTTGTTCTTATTCAATATGGCAGAAACATCTTTTTTTTTGTTTTGTTTATTTAGGTTCTCGAACGTCGAAATATGAGTTAGAAAAACAGTTTGATTACTATGGACCTCTCTTCGATTGCTGGGTGGCAAGGTAAAAGTGATACTCGATGAATTTTTGCGAATTTTAGAAATGTTGTTATAAGAAGGAAATATCTTTATTATGAGACTTCTGCGTCCAGCTATGGATTGTAAGATTTAATCTTTATTGTTAGTAGTATCTTCAATTGAGATTGGCCTGAAATAAATTAGAAGGAAGAACTAATCGTTATAACGTCATGTTGAATTTTCCCACATTGTTATTGTCTCTTTTCTTATAAATATGTATACGTTTCTTCTGTTAGAAATCCACCAGGTTTTGCCTTTGTCGTTTACAAACATGCGGAAGATGCTGATCGAGCTGTGAGAGAATTAGATGGCAGGTAAGAAGAAAAAACATTGCGATCGATTGTGATTCGATTTGGTTGTTTATTTTTTTAGAGTTATCTGTGGTCGTCGCGTGCGAGTTGAACATGCGCGTATGTTTTCAAAAAGGCTTAACGTACTCTTTCTATTTTTAATAACATTTTATGTTGAACTTTAGGACCGTCAGGAGGTAAAAAGCCTCCACCAACATTCGCAAATCGATTTAACCAACGTTCACCGCGCACTACTAGGTACGGAATAGTTTGTTTATGACTGCTTTCCTTCTACCGAATTAAAGTTGTATTACGTGTCTAACTAACTTATGTCAGAAATTGTGCAGAGTGAACAGCATTTCTAGGTGGCTGTTTTTGCTTCGTCTAATGTTTTATCAATCGTTTATATCGTTTCTTCAGCGTTTCATTCATCTGAACGCGTGTTGTTGCCGTTTTGTTCTTCTGATCGCATCTTAAAATCATCGGCATCTACAACACATTCCTTCATGTACCGTTCTTCTGATCGCCATATATTGACGATATCACATATCAAAGAATACAACATCGAATAAACGAGAGAGTCGGATATACTAAATATATTGAGAATTGATTGAGATCTCATTTTAAATTGCTAGACATTTTATGAATTTCTATTTACAGTAAGTAATTATTCTCTTTACACTAGTATTTAAAGTAGCTTTGATATTTTTTGTGTGCCATGCATTTTATTAATTCTGGTAAAAGAAGCTAAAATGATTTATGGTCTCATAATTTCCATGTATTATCATAGATCCCCATCAAGAGGAGAACGCGATAGTAGACGGAGTCGTACAAGGTCACGATCTCGTGAAAGAAATGATGAAAAAACAAGAAAGAAAACATCACATCGTCGTTCAAGGTCCCACTCGAAAAAAGCAAAACGAAGCAAACAACGACGTGGTTCATCAACTAGAACACGCTCTCGTTCAACAGAAAAGTAAGAACATCCAAATTATTTAAAAAACTTCTAAAGCATTACGTTTTTTGCTTTGTTTTTCAGACGATCAAAACGACGTAGCAGGTAATCAAAAAAGCTGCACTACTGATATATATGAAAGAGAAGCTTTGATCTGCAAGAGGAATTTAAATAAAGTTTGTTTCTTAGCATATAGCATTCTTAGCAAATTAGCATTTATTGTAGATAACTATTCTTTAGTGAGTTCGATTACACTCATATTAATCTTTCTGTTTCGATTTTAGTGAATCATCTCGTGAACGCTCGAGAAGTCGTCACAAACGACGATCATCTGATGATGAGAAACCAACGAGCAAACGTCGAACACGCAGTCCAAGTGCTGATGGTGAAGCAGAGGTCAAATCGCCTCCTATTGAAGAACGTCGCGAGGATAATCGAGACGATGATGAACATTCTGAAACAAACAAGAAACCATCAAAGAACCGAAAGAGACGCTCATCATCAAATGTTAGTGGCGAAAGAGAGTCAGACGATGAAACTGATAATCGAATGAATGATGATAATGAACCACGTACAGACGAAGAAGAAGAACGTGAAGAACGATCTCATTCACGTTAACTTGTTACAAAATCAAATTCATGTTTTTTTTTATAAATTCTGTTTCAATTGCAGTCTTTTCTGTCAAAAAGCAATTGTTGTATAATATATGTGAATGTGTGTTATGTGATTGCTTTTGAAGATTGTTTAATAAAAAAGAAAACCCGAATTTTTTGTATGTAAATTCTGTTTTTGTTTATATAACATTTTTGTGATCTACTGACTTATTAAGAAAATAAAAATGTGTGATGATAAGAGAAAAACTGTTTATTGTTGAGAAATATCCTTGTAATTACTATATCTTATCCTAAATAAATAGAGAAAGTTAAAAGTCCATACAACCGTTCAAACTATTTGGCATCTCACTTTTTTTAATCTGAGATTGAGCCTTCGAAATTAGACTTATTTTCCATTTTTTCAGGAATATTTTTAGTGTAGTACTCGTAGAAGTGTATTAGTATATTAATCATGTATGGTTATTAGGGGTGGCAGTATTACTATTACTCATGTATTATATTACCGAGGAAAGCAATACTAAAAGGTATATATTACTATTATTCGTAACAGTAATCTTCCATGTATTCCTATTACCAGTAACAGCAATACTGGCAGTATTAGTGTTACCAGTAACAGTAATATTCATAAAATTAGTATTACTTTTCAGTAAAGTAAAAAAAAAAATTCATCCGGGGCGCCATAATCAATGCGAAATAATGTTGTGCTTCGTGTTGATAGTGGCGCCCATACTGAATTTTTTTCCTGTATTACTTTACTGAAAAGTAATACTAATTTTATGAATATTACTGTTACTGGTAACACTAATACTGCCAGTATTACTGTTACTGGTAATAGGAATACTGTTCAGTATTACTGTTACCAGTAACGGTAATATATACAATATTTGTATTACTGGTAACAGTAATAGTAATGTGCCGCCCCTAATGGTTATGTACGTGATAGATGTTGTCAAAAAATTCATGTCATTCATATGGGAGTTAGTAAAAATCTAGCTAAAAACTCAACGAATGCTGATAAAAACTTTTTGGATTGACTTAAATAAATTGACACGTATGGTTTTTATTATAGACCAAGAGTACTAGGATATTATATGTTCATCGAAAAAAAGATCAACTCAGATATATGTTTATAACTGCACGGACAACGAATCATGTCTTCAATTAATCCTTATCGATTAGAGCTCTGTGCAACTGCATCTCCTAATTTGGTCGTACAAACACCACCAATACATTCATTCTCATCAGTGCAGACTAATGAGTCGCCATTTAGCTTTTCTCAACGTGATCGATATTTACCAAAAGGACGAGGAAAACCATTTATTAATAATCGTCCATTATCCACAAATACGGTTTTAGAACAACCGTCAGAGACTTTGTCAGATTTAGCTGTTTTGTACATAGATGAATATGAGAAAAATAATCATGAAACTAAAGTGACTGTGGAGAAAATCAATGAAGAAGAGCATTTTTATGTAGGTAGAAATCAATTATCGAGTTACACAAACAACTTCAACGTTGCATTTTAGAACAGTAATTCGAGTCTGAGTGGTCAGTCTGTCACATCAAGACAAAGAAATAATTCTCATGGGTCGAGTTATTCATTGAAATCTGATGGTGAGCCAGTGATTCCTATGTTAGCGTCATCAACATTTGTATCATTAAAACAGCAACAAAGGTTAGTATTTGTGTAGCTATTAGAATTTCGTTCGCGAATAAACTATTTTTATGTTATTCAGCCAACAACAAAATGTTCAACAAAAGAAACAAATATACTTTAGTCGACGTCTTAATCAATAGAGAACTATGACACATGAAGCTGATAAATGCTATCATATTTGATTACTATGTTGATTAATCAAACGACTAGGTTCCGGTGTGCTTTTTACACGTTATCTATTTTGAGAATACGTATAAATCTGAATTTTGTGCAAGTGACCGAAAAAAAGCTAAAGTACTTAAGTGTATATGTTCGATTAAGATATCAAAGGTTTAGTTATTTGTTTGAATTTTTTTAGTTTTCTATAGTCAAATATAAAAGCTTTTAAAGACTATCGGTGATGAAAAAATGTTTCTCAAATATTAATGTAGTGAAGTTTATTCACCATCGGTATTCATGGCATTACGTCCGATGAGTAAGTTTTTTTTTGTATATTATTATTTCCGTGCTATCTTCTGAATTTTAACACAAAAAAGTTCCTGTGATCACATGCTGATAGCTTTTCTTGTTTATTTGTGATTGAGAAATTTTTTTCTCTATGTTTTGTCCCATGGGTTTTTTGCGTTTATATATATTTTTCTATTTTTTTTTTTGTTTTTATTTTTGTATATTCAACGCTTAACCTACAAAATAATTCAATAAACAAAAAAGGTTAGCTGGAAAAAATCTTTGTCTGGTTTAGTCTCGATTCGTTCCCAATTGCTCCTACTAACTGTTGATGTTGTTTGATACGAATTGAGAGGATATCTCATCATCTATCATTTTCAGTACAGATCATATATTGCTGATTACGTTGCACTTGTATATTGATATTCATTTAGATTGACGAGAAAATATTATATTGATATCAGATACTTTAATAAACAGTCATATAAATTGACGCGTTTTAACATATCTGTTGGTAAATCGGTATATTTCAAAGAAATATTCCAAAAATTTTATTTGAATACAATCTTTCTGTAGCGAACTCATCAGTTCAGTATTGTAATGCACTAAATTAATGAATTAATGTGAGAATACAAAAACTAGTAACGAATTGATTTAAGGTTTGTTTAGCACGATATTCACTCGAAAATTGATATTGAAAATTGTTGTTCAAACACATTGTCACTTATTTACTATGATCAAGTTTACAGTAACATAATCGTACAAGATTAATGGTGCATAATTTTATCTATCAATTAAAAGGACCGAAGCTTATCTCATTTCACATTATGTACATTCCGTCTAATTTTCATCCAAAAATTGTAGTCCAACAGAAAATAGTGCTATTTTACTAAAAAAGTCTGTTTTTTTTGTCAAAACACATCGTATGAGAAACCATTAATTTTTAGTAAAATTAATTGTACTTTATGCAAAGTATTAGCTGTTTAAAGCACCGCCACCGATTTCTTGTATTTCTCTTTTGCATATTGGATCTTTCACACATTCTATCTTCATTAGTGTAAAAAGATGATATAATTTCCTGAAAAGATGATGAAATTTGAATGTCCGTACGAATAATATACGTGCAAGTTATATGGTAAGAAACCGTTTTTTTCCTTTTTCTGAAAGATGTCAGTGGCAGTATTCTTTGCACTAACTGAATAAAATGCTCAGTTCTTCTAGAATAACTGTTATTGAGAAAGGAATTTTTGAGATAAGATAAACAATGTAGCGAGCATGAGCCATCAAAAGGTTATATTAACTCTTTGAGGGTACAGTATAACGGGTTTTCTTTTAACCATTTGCATATCTATACATAAGTAGAAACATTCTCTGAGTGGTAGTAAAAACACGCGCGTTTCATCATCAAAACTAGAGATTATTTTTCAAGATGGGTTTTTCAGCATATCATACAGACTTATTAAATATAACTGTAGATTCTCACTTGTTGAATATCGTTGTTTACTATTATAATAGAACAGTATAAATAGAAATCGATGATGTAACTTTGTATTATTTTGTAGATTGTATTATATTATTGGTTCATGGCTAATACTACTGACAATAGTACAATATCAAATACTGCAATAAAAAAAGCTGATGCGGAAATAATTGCATCTTATTTAGAATCATTGTTAGAAAATAATTTAAAATCAACTGATCATGAAAAACTTCGTACTGGTTTTGAATTATTATTGACTGTTTTAAAAGAACCATTGGAATATCAAGATGATTATAATAAAATATTATTTGATTGTATCAAATGTTTTATCGACGATTCAAATGAAGAAGAGAAAACTAGAAAGTTATTAGAACATGCATCACTTTCAAAAGCTTTTACAATAGAACAACATCAACAGATAGTTAAACATATGTCAATACGAGGATTTTCTCCTGTTGATAAGTCATCAGATCAACAACATGAGAACAATCATGAAACAAAAGAAATGAACCGAAACGCACATGTACATGGAAGAGGAAGAAATAGAGGAAATTATACTAGAGGAAATCAGGGTAATGGGAAATCAGCACAAGGTCGAGATGGTACTGCATTTTCTGGTCAAGATTATTTATCAAATATTCCAAGGAGCGTCTCATCTGAACAACAACAACGGTTTCGTGGTAAGTAAAATAATACTTGTATCTAATTTTCTTTAGATTGTGTGACTCTTTAATAATAGTCGTGTAGTAATTGAGAAGTTTATATTTTATCTGTTTTACGAATTCGATAAATTTGAGATATAATTGTATCGAGCTTTTAATTAAGTAAAACCAATACGAATTAAAAGCTCAAACAATTATATCTCAAACTAATTGATGGGTTGTTATGAGTGAGCGGAAGTATATTTCAGCTAAGGCTGACATAAGAGCTCATTTAAAGATTTAAAACTGTTTCAGTTAGGTTATTTATTGTCTTCGTAGGTAACAGTCGTGATTCATCAAATAACAGATTTAATGGGAGATATTCATCTGGTGAATACCACAATACTAACGTTCAGAAACGTCATGGGCAAAATGCTGATTTAAGTCAATGTAAGAGCGCATGGACAATTCCTTTAAGAAATACAGATATGCTATCGATTTTGATTTAGATCAATGTTTTACATGTAATGAATATGGACATGTAACTCGTGGTTGTCCTAGACAATCTATTGGCGGAAATCGAGGAAATCGATACAGAGCTGCACGTGGATATTTTCAGCCAAATAATCGAGGTAGTCATACATCTACGTTAAATCCTGTTACAAGCGATGACGATGAGGCAAGTGCATCGTTTAGAGATGACGAAACGACGTCATCAACAACATCAACAGATGAAATATTAAGTGATAAATCAGGAAAAAGAAAACAGTTAAAGAAAAACAAACCAGAGTGTCCTTCGGTGTCGAACACTAACAATAATGACAATGCTTCAATAGAGAAAATCCATTCTTTAACAATGAAATTTGTAATGGGAAAAGAGATCGATAATGAAAATGAGAATGCTAATCTTTCAACATTAGTTGAATGTATTGGAAACATGGATAACAAACAACAACAAAATCAAAATCAACAAAAAGAAAGTTTATATTTCAATATGTTAGTTCATATTGCTCAAAACAACAATGTTTACAATGATGAACTATGTACACAATTATTTCATCATATTTATGATCGACATCTTTTGATAAAACAGAAATGTTATAGAAAATTGATAAAAAATTTTATCGTGAATGATCGACAAAATTTTTGTCATCAGCGTCCATTGATTTACTTGAATGATATTAATAAACATGTACATGATTCAACCGAAACAAAACGAACAATGTTAAACGATTTGCAAGAATATCTTTTACGTTCAAACGGTACTATTAGTGAATTATTGTACGTTACATTGAAACAATTCATCGTCAGTGGTCTCAAATCAGACAATTTGCTATATAATCGTATCTGTCATTTGATATTCAATGAGAAAAAAAATTTATTCAGCGAACAACAAATAAATGAATTAGCTGAATGTGTTCACATTAGAGAAAAACGTGTCGAACGAAATATTCAACGAACAAACTGGCGTAAACGTTTAGCAAGTATGAAAAATCAGCATGTTGAGGAAGATATTGATCAATTATTAAATGATTTGGAACAAGTATTAAATGCGATTGAAAGTGAACATTTAGCACACGAAAAAGATGAAGAAGAATCACAGTACATTTTGAATCATTATCAATGGTATAATTCGATACTATTATTAGCTAGTTGTGGACATTTGAATTCAGAACAATATAAACGTTTATTGACGATCGGTATAAAATCTTCCATATTCAATGTAATACAAAAATTATATATGCATCATTATTTGAACGAAGGACGAGCACCAGTAACATTACAACAAGTGAATGATATGGAATTAAAACTTCAGAGTGAACAACAAACTTATGCGAACGATGATTATAATCATAAACAACAAGTGTTTGATCAAATAAAACAAATTTTATCAATACAAAAACCATTATTTTTCGACAAACAAACAACTATAAAGGAAACGTCAATACAAGAGCAAGTAAATTTCTTTCATATTTTTCATAAAAACTATACGCCACTGTCTCCGCTTTTGTAGTTTAAGAATACCTCATAGTCAAGCAAGACATAAGGAACAAGAATTCCTTCTTTTAACGACTAATTGTCTTCGAAAAACTAATAAAGTTTGTACCAATATATAAAACTTGCTTTTGTTGTTTAGAACAATGTTGAGAGTTTGACACAGTTTAAATTGGAAGAATTGCCGAATGATGATGTTAAACAAGAGGAACAGAATCGATCAGCAAATCAAACAACTTCCGGAACCCATGAGTTTGAAAATAAAATTCCATTCATTGATAATTATATAACAAGTCGATTAATGTCACTAATCGAATTAATATGTTCAGATAGTCGCATGTTTTCAAGTGAACAATGTAAAGAATTGTTAGATTCTGCTTTAAAAACGTCAGCATTGTTGAAACCAATAGCGCGAAAAGACAAAGAAAAGTTGCAATTGTTTTATTTACGTCCGATGTCAGTGAATGAATTACAGTCAATATGTGCAAAATTATCTGATACGACCACAAACATCTGCGATGAAGATTTGTTCAATGAGTTTAAAATACTAATGGAAAAACGTCCATTTACAACAAATTCAAAAAATCTTTTAATGAGTACAATTAATCATATATATCATAATAAAACAAAATATTCAAGCGAACAATGTAAAGAATTGAAAAATATAATTGAACACAAGCCTTTTGGAAAAAAATGTCATAAAAAATTATTGAGAACTTTTCAATTAACACGTGCAGTGGAAAAAGTAGCGTCTCCTCAGCAAACAGCATCAGCACCACCAAAAATGCAACAACAACAACAACAACAAACGATAACACAAAACAATACAAATGTTCTATCATTGAATCCAATTATTTTGAATAAATTATTTTCGAATATTATAAAACGTGACAATAACGCTTATCAAGAGTTTTTAAATATCATTGAACAATTACCAAACATAATGACAACAACATCTCAGAATTTGATAATTGAAGCAAATTATTGTATAATAACCCACATTCTTCTGTATATAAAACAAAATAATTCAAATAATAGTTTAGATTACGAACCGTTCGATGAGACAAAATTAAATAAAATATTAGAAGATCATCGATCGTACTTTTCAACGTTTTTATCAGAAGAAGAGCAACAAGATATTTTCTTGAATTTAACGAAAACTACATCGAATATAATTGATAATTTAATAAAGAATGTGAAACAAGGCAAAAATGATATAAAAACACTTTTATCATCAATCGAAAATATTCGAACGAAAAATGATCTACAAGAAGTGATCAGTTTCATTATTTATACATTTGAAAATGACAATTTACAACAATATGTAGAAAATGATGTAGTTGAATTAATTCAATTAATTCAACAACATTCATTGTGTAATCAATCAGGTAACTAGAGAAAACTTTTTATCAATCAGTGGCTATGAATTGTGAATGTAAATTAGTAGTTCTGTTAGGAGTTGAGTCAAAAGTATGCTGTGTGAACTATGGTAGTGTCTTTATTATTTTTTTGTTACCGTCAAACAGTAGGTTTTTCCTCTTTAGATAGCCATATTTTAGAATATCTGAATGATTTATTAGAAAAATATCATTTACATTTATCTCCCAAACAAGTCATGAAACAACTGGAAGGTATTGCCAATAATCAACAATGTGATGAAATATTGATAAATATACAACATATGCTTGAATTAGCTACTTCCAAATATGCTATTGACGAATGGAAACAAATAATGATCAAGGTTCTAAAGCATTGTTTTAAAAATGAGAATATATTATTAATTAACAATAAACAGCTGAACGATTTGAAAGAAACTGTTAAATCTTCGCCAATGTTTTCAAAAAAATTATGGAAAACACAAATGCTGCCCTGCTATGATACTTGTGGAGAAGATGGTCAACAAGAAGAGAAATGTATGTAGATTGAATTTTTTGTATATATACGCTCCATTTTGAGTACACGGTTTGATACTGCCATAACTGAGAGTTTCCTTAATTTTTTTGAAATATATTGCTTCGCTCAAAAGTTACAGCAAAAGTATTCATTAAACTGAGAAATCAAGGTGTTTTAATTTCAAAACTCTATAAACCAACTGCGAAACATTTTTTAGTTATGGTCTTAAGCATCTATGAGAAAAACTTGAATCCGATCTAATGAAAGTTTAGAGGAGGGAGGGGGGATCGTAGCATGGTCAAGGTGAGACAAGTTGAAGAAAGTTTTTAAGAAAAACGTAAAGCAAGATTCAATACTAGAATTTGATACATTTTTCAAAGAAAATAAAGCCTTTCCTATAAAAAATCTTGATATCTAAGTCCTTAAGAATAAAAATAAAAATTTCGATATTTTGATCTCAAATGAGGGTAGAGTGCCCTAACATTTCGCTCATGAGATTTGATTTCGATGACATCTCCTCCCAACTTCTTGTATAGAAGTTGAGTAGGTGGTCGATGTCACCGTTGTCTTTCTTGCATAGCTGTACTAAAAAGAAAAGAACCGATAGCAGAATGAATAGTAATTAAAAAATGTGTAAGCGATAGGGACGGAGCTGTGTAGTATTTAATTTTTTTATTTGTAATCTGCAAAATACAGTTTCAGCGCTTCCGTTTACCTACTTACTTGTTTAAATGTTAAATGTACCGTTCGGCTAACAGCATAGCTCAACTTAAAAAATCCGATACACGAATTTTAAGTATCTTTTTTTTCTAGTACCCACAAAAGGTTCTCCATTAAATGGTGATACTAACACATACGCAGACCTATTTTCTAAACTTGAATCATCTGATCCATTATTAAATGAAAATGTTTTAACCGATCTACGTACCATTCTTGAAAACGAACAGTTACCATCAACAATTTCTATGAAAAAATATATTTCTGCTTTAAAATACGTATTCAAAAATGTTGAAAAATTTTCACTAAATTCAAATATTGATAAATGGTTAAATCTAGTAAGAAAAAATCGAAAAAAATTATTTGTTGATCAACAATGTGATCAATTATTAATGACATTAATATTTTTAAAATTGAATTTAACGGATCACAGTTTAACAACAATAAATTATTTGATTAAATCACGAAAACGATCAGAATGTGTAGAAGGTCTGAGGTTACTTGGAAAAATATTAGACTATAACGATTCACAATATGTTTGTAAAACAATGGGCGATGAACTATTTAAAATGATCGTGAATGTTGCATACAATGAACGTTTTAATACCGATGATGTTAAAAAAGCTCTAAAATATGGTCAAAATTGTCAACATTTAAGTGATACACAACGTGAAAAATTAAAATTACTTCTCTAATAATTTTTGACAGTAAATGACTGTGATATTTTTAAATTGACAATTTGTTATACGATAAACTTGTGTTTGTTTTGATGTTCATTTTTTTCTTTCTGTATATTTTTCACTGATACAGTGGATATTCTAATGTTACTTTTGAGTTTCTTATTTCATTAAAAATCATTGACAGAGTGGCTTTTTCAATGAAAAAAGAAAGTCATTTTAACATTTGGTAGTTTAGTTTCAACTCAATGGAAATCTCGTTAAAAGATAAAAGTTTTCATAAAACGTTCAACAGAAGAATCTTTTAGTAAAAAGAAGGTAAGTAAACATGGTCAAAACAGTCGAATTGATTAATCTTCTCTACAGAAAGAAAGGACATAACGTTTTGTTTCAGTTAATCCATGTTCTTGCCGTTCCAAGGTGATATTTTTATGAAATTTCTCTCTATAATTATAAGGGTAAGGAAATAAGGATTTACGATTAAGTTTCTAACGATTCAGAGAGTTTGTCTGTAAAATCGAACAGATTCTCGGTGGTGGAAACATCTTAGAAAATTGAGAAAAAAGAAATTAGAAAGTTGAAATAATATTTATCTGGAAAGTGGAAAAAAGCACAGAATATTTCTTCAAGAATGCGAGAACTGGAGAAATACTAACAATGAACGATAAAATGTTTCGAAGATAAAGCCTACATAAAAAATTTTACAAAATATATACACAATACAAAAAAATTATTATGAAAATGAGATTAAAAAATACGGTATGAAGTCAACTATAATTTTGACAAGGATAAATAAATAATGCTAGATAGTTTAAAAATCACGGTGATCTATCATTTGATTTTGACAATTAGAAATAATATGCTTTTTCATATGTCTAGAATAAAAAATAGAATTAAAAGAGTATACCATATGATGTACATTGTACTGTTTCATTACTCACCTATCGAGATTTGTTTGTTGGCCAAATTTTTTTCCACATTCAATACACTGATATGGACGCTCTTTTCGATGAATACTTCTTATATGTCTCTAAAAAAAAACGAGAAAATTTTAATTAAAAACTTTAAGAAGATATAAAACAACAAATAATAAACATTTTCAGTAATATAATTTATAGATTAGAAACTAGATCAGTATTCTATAACATTTCAAAGATGAGAAAATTCATCTTCTCAGAACAATATAGCGATTTGTGTCGATAATTTTGTATAAACCATTGCCCATAGGATCTTTTTTTCCTATTTATTGCATTATAATGCGTTAGGCATATCGTAATGCCTTGTAATATGTTAGATTTTCTATTATGTTACAACCCAATAAATTTAGAAAAAACATGTCTTTAATACATTGTAACACATTAGCGTAACGCGTTACATGGAAAAAGCCACCAAAAAATTGAAATTATAGTGTTATAATGCATTTTTATCAACGACTTTCTCATATTTTATAATGTTACAACGTTATAATTTCGACTAACGCGTTAATACCATTACAAGGCGTTATTAAATTCCTATCGCATTATAACGCATTAATCTGTAACACGTCAGGTTAATGTATTATACCGCTATAACATCTAACACATTATAAAGTTATAAATTTATGGCATTGCAATGTATTAACTGTTTAGGCGTTAGATATCTACTCGTTACAATACGATATGCATTATCTAATGGGTTATAACACTACAAAAGATTTTTGTCAAATTTATGACGTTATAATTAGATAAAAAATTTGAGGTATTATAACGCATTATATTAAAGTAGAAAACTCAAACACGTTATAATACATTAGAATCTAACGTATTGTAAGGCGATAAACAAATCTAATTGAGTTGGAACGAGATAAAAAATTGAAACGCATTAAAATGCTATAAATTTATAGAATTGTAATGCAATGAAAATTTTTATCGATTACAACGCCATAAATTCCTGAAAAATAACTTTACAACGCGTTATAACACGACGGGCTATGTCTATCGTGTTGTAATGAGATAAATCTATAACATTGTAATATCATAGTCTAAGAAAAAGCATGTTTTATAGTGTTATAACGCTATAAATAATGAAAAAAAGATCCTCATACAGAATTATTTATGAAACATACTTGAAGATTAGATGATATACTAAATGCTCGTCGACATAAGAGGCATTGATAAGGCTTTTCGCCGGTGTGTGTACGTGTATGACGGGTTAAATTAGCTGAACGTGGAAATTGTTTACCACAAAAATTACATCGATTCAATCCATTTGCACTATGATAATGTTGTTCTCGCTCATTTTCATTGAACTTAATTTCTGTTTGTTCTTCTTCTGAGTTTTCATTTTCTTCTTCATCATCTACAGATTCTCTCTCACTTTCACTATCATCTTGTTCAATTAATTCCTCTTTAATATTTGAATTGACAAAGTCATAATGTTCCTTCTGATTGTATTCTGTTTTTGGTAGACTTAGATCAAGTGGTTCACAATTGTTGTTATTTTTATCAACTTCACACGATGAATTTTCAATTTCATTCTGAATTGTTTTACCCAATTTCATTTGTGATAAATTTAATAACCACAATGGTAAAGATTGTGTTTGTAAATAGGTTAATGTATTTAAGTTTAAAATATTAATTCGTGATTGACCAGACTCTTTCATCAACATATTAAAATCAAATCCATTTTTAGAGTTTTTAACAAGATTATTATATGTTTGAGTAGCCGCAGCACCGATGGCTTTCATTGAACAAACTGATGAATTTTTTTGCAATCGCTTTGATAATGGAGAATGAGAACTATGTGTTTCAATGCAAGACTTTTTATGACGGATAAAAAATTGACCATTGACAAATATTTCATGACAAATACCACATTTAATTTCTCGACTATGAACACGTTTATGACGACATAAATTTGATGATTGTGTATAACATTTCTGACAGACCTGAAATAGAAATACAACGATAATATTATCTATTACTCTATTACAAAGAGAATGAGATTTTTCAACGTTCCAACTACAGAAGATAAACTATCATAAAATAAAATATATTTTAGTGTATCTTTTGATTATTTTATTTTTTCTAGCAATTTACTAAACGAATAAATACATTTATGTTTGTAAAAAGATAAAATCGATTTAAAGTCCTTACTTCACATGTGTACGGTTTTATCGTTTTGTGAATGTGCATATGTTGCTTTAATCCACTCGATGTTGAAAATGATTTTCGACAGTCTGTACACTGATGTCTTGTTGAATATGAATTTGATAAAATGGTTCCAAACGACATCTTCGCTGTCACGTACTAAAATTTAATTTCTACTAAATTAAACTAATTTATTACTATTCATCGACTTGAATATGTTCTAAAGTAAATGGATTAACGATAAATAAACTAACATTCTTCATCAATTCTATGTCGATCGATCTGTTTATGAATTAGCTTTCTTCAAAAGCGTTTGTTTTTAATGTTTAAGATGCAAAAAAAATTAGAAAAATGAACACTTCAATCTTATCTATACTATTCCGTTTCGAAAGAGGCAAAGATTCTACGAAAAGCTTGATGTTGAATAATTTTTAACGTAGTTTAGACTGTATTATTGAATTTTTTGAAATTAGTCATTTAAATATCTGTTTGGGAAAAGCGATATGGTATAGTATTTCGTAATTCAATTAAATGTATCATTTAAATATTTTGATTACTATTGGTTTTTTGACAGTTAACTCGTAGTCAATCTCAGTTTTACTCAAAATTGAGATTGAGAGCAAGGGATAAATTATCTTTATAATCTGATGAAATGTATGATTCTTAAATTAAATCTCATAGTGGATGAATATCTTACCTGTTTGTGACTTGAATATGATATTATCTGTATTTTATTTATATATCTTGTGACGTTATATCGATCTTTTCTTCTTCTAGTTCCTCTAGAATTTTACATTCTATATACATATATTCATCTATATCTCTTGCTATGAATAATGAAGAGCAGGAGTGAATTTTTCGTTATATTTGGACACTTTTACTGCCGCGATGAGAATGAGAACGAAAAAATGAAAAACGTCACTTCTGTTTGCTTAACAATCTACTATAGATCGTATAGTAATAATAGAAGCAGGTTAGTTCCACCACATTACGAATACAAAAACGAAAATTCTTCTCTCTCTATCTGTTGTCGTATAATAAAAAGGAAATTTTCGTTTTGTTAATAACTTTAATGACTACCTGCAAAATAGTAAATAATAACCAGAGAAGAAGAGACATCAGCATTAAAATTCCATTCTCAGAGTATACAGAGAAAAAGAACAGAACAAAAGCTATACCTATATGTATATGTATATATGTGCGTGTGAAATGATTTGAAATAAATGATTTGACTAATGTTGTTGAATGAATGAAAACCGGAACATAGTTGTATAGTTGTCATTGATATTATTTTAAAGAGACATTCCATCAAATATACTGTAGTTTATATGTTCAAAAATATTTATTCTCGTTTTTTTTTCTCTTTCTCTTTCTCTCTCTCTCCTACTCTACTACATTATTTTGAAAAGGTTCGCATTAGATATGAAAATAATTAGAAAAATTATCACAATTAATGACAAAAGAGTGAGTAGTTAGTTATTAGAGGGTTCTCTGATATAGGTATATGCGATATCACTTAAATAAAACTTATTGACATTTTTGTTTATATCGATAGAGAATGAAATATGTAAACTGTTTGAAAAGAAAATGTAAAAATATATTTGATTTGACTATACAGAAAAGGATGCATTTTTTTAATAAAAGACTACAGTAGTTTCAATTCAATTCTGGTTCTATGTATTTTTGTAAACTAGATGGTTTAGAAGATTAACATTGGATATTTTAATGAGTTTTACCTTTCTAAAAAAGTGAAATTATCGATTTTATGCCACAATTTTCATGGATTTTGTTGATGTGTTACTTACAAAATATTTACTAAATGAAAAGGTAAAATCAGATTAATTTTATTAAAGATTGTCAATATGTGTCTCATGCAGGTAAGTGAGTTTTTTACAATTACAGAAGAAATAAATCAAAAAAAGAAAACGAAAAGATAAATGAACTTAAAAAAATTTCTAAACATTATTTTAACCATTCAAAAATATGATTTCTCACATATGATGATACTCAATACATTTTAACATCTAAATTTCGTCAAATTATCTCTGTTATCGTAAAATTTTTCTTTTTATTCTATACTCGACTCATTGATCAATAGAACTATGAATAAGTTAAATTTTATTGTCTTCTAACTGGGAATCTCTATTGCTAATTTCTACAACCTTCCAGTTTCAAAACAACAAAGGAAAGAAAAATTGATGTTTCAAAAAGTTATACAGACAAAATCAGCACATATATATATATATATATATATATATATATACATTAAGATTCATTCTTTCAAATGACAATATATGTATACATGTTATTTTCTCATATGTATGTGGTCTAGTCAATGTGATATACTTTAAAAAAACGAACACACAACAGGTAGTCTGTTTTTCTTTTTTTTTTTTTATTTCAATAGAAAATAATATAATATCAGAAGAAACAATTATTTATTATACACATTAACGAAGATAAGAAAAAAAAAAAAACGGTCTCATTTTTACTCCTAACTAGTATATACATACTCTCTTTGAATATAAACTCTATTCATTCCTATACACATACATACAGGTATCTACCGGAATATAATGGGAAAATGATGGGAACGATGAGACATTTGATTATAATCGAGTGTTTAAAGATAAAATTTTCAGCACTGAATATAGTCATTGTGCTACGTCGAAAAAATAAAGAAAAATTGTTGTCAACAATGATTATTTAAGTGAGATTAAAGCCAATAAAAGAGGGAGAAATTATAATGCAAACGTTTACACTGTTTTTGAAACCATTCAAAATAGAATGTAAAACGACATCATATCCATTAGAAGCAAACAAGTGCCAAAAGCGATTAAAAGTTTGGAGAAAAGATTTCATCATTAGAAAAATCATGCATTATGGTAAATCCAACTATAAGAACATCGAATTATATCAAAATTAAGTGTATGATTAGATTGAAAGATATAATTGATAGAAAGAAAAGAAAAAATAATAATAACAAAATATTATTATGCTATCCGACGAAGAGCATTCATTATAGACATAGTGGAAATAATAAATTCAAAATGCTAAAAATAATGATAAATAAATTTTGTTTTTTCTATGTACAAAGATATAGAATAGAAAAAAAAGGAACGATTGGATTGCATTTGTGAATTCAAAATACATAGATAAGTGTCAGTTCATTCGGCAGGTGAGTTGTTACACACTTCATAGCGGATTTCAACTTCCGTGGCCACCGTCCTGCTGTCACTACAAAAATGTCACTATGTTGCTAGTTTTTGACTTTGCTATTCTCCTGAATACATCAAAATATACATAGACGACGGAGCGTCTTGAAACTAGATGAGACTCATAGTATTTTCGTCTCCCCTCCTATCGAACTTTTATCAAAGCGTTAAGCAGAATAAGGTGCGCATAATCCAAACTTGCAATAAAATTCTTTTTCCAACCTATTCTAAACAGTTGGATAGAGCTCCGTGAGCTGATTAAGGAAATGTATTTTTAAATTTTTCAAAACTTTTTTCCATTTCAGAAAAATGGAAAATACTTAATTGTAAATAAAAGCCGCTTCAGATTCAAATTGTACTACTCTTATAAAAGACCAAGTTTGCTCCTCATACCGTGATAGAAAATGAAAAAATAACATGTTACACACGTTTCTATTGAATTTTCGATGG